GGATGAGAAGAGATATAACAAGTAATCCTTATAAATAATCCCAAGTTTTAATTTTTACGCTTAATTTCTATTTAAAATTCACTTTTTATAGGAGGTAATATTTGGTCATGGACCATTATTGGCGGACGGTCCATATAGTTGGGATTATACAAAAATAATCAATAGTTGAGATTATTATCGGCGGACCGGCTAAAGTTGGGAATATTATTTTCAATTTTTCCTAATAAAAATGGAAAGTTGTAATGTATAGTACTACCTCCGTCCCATTTTATGTGTCTTAGTTTGACTAAATACGGTTATTAATGAAATGGTTGAAAAAGTAAAATTTGTGGTTGAGATTTGAGTATAATAAAAAGAAATGATGTAGACCACATATTTCTTTCCAAAAAGTAAAGGAGACACTTATTTTGGGACAACTCAAAAAGGAAAGTAGGACAGATAAAATGAGACGGAGGGAGTATTAATTTATTATGTCTGACATTTTTTCCCATCAACTTTTTCGGGGAAATCTAAAAAATTTAAAAACCAAAATAAATCGACATATTTGTCCGGTGACTTTTCCGGCATCCCACATTTCTGGCGGCATCCGCCAATACGAATGGGCAATTGGGTAGGATTTAGAAGTGGAAGAAATTTATATATACCGAGTATGTATTAAAAAAAGGTTATTCACTTTTTTTGAAAAAAAAAAACTAGTCATATATTGTTTTTCAAAAGTGTAGAGTTAATGTTATGAGGTTTTTCTAGAAATATTACTAAAATAAATATTTTGAATGGAAGTGTGACAAAAGCTACCATGAATATAGTTTTATGGTCAACTGTGTTTATTTTAATCGTATATTGAGATTTATAGCTAATACATTTTCCATTTTTTCAATTCAAAGCGAGATGGATTTAAAAATATTTTAAATTTAAAAACATTTTCAAAAATGAAATACATTAATAAATCAAATATAGTCAGAGGCCGTTTGACAACACTATTTTTCGGATTATCAGGCTTATCAGACAACTTTTTTACCAAACACGTAAATTTTGTTTTCCGCGCTGAATTTTGTAATAAGCAGAAAAAGTAAAGTTAGAGTTACTTTTCTGACTATATTGACTGAAGTTACACTAGACTACCATTTTAGCTATTTTTACATATATTTTCTTTATTTTAATAATATATATATATATATATATATATATATATATTTTCATAAATCAGCAAAATCAGCCAATGGAGACACATCAGCCAAAACTTCTTAAATTTCAGCAGAATCAGCCAAATCAGCTGATTTTCGTGCTACCGAACGAGCTCTTAAAGTAGAGCAAGTGAATATTTAAATTCAATATACTACAACTTCTTAGTAACATAGGCAGTACTAGCTATATTTTATTCCCTCCGTCCTCGAAAGAAGTTTCTAATATTTTTCTAAACTTGGCAGATTACTCTTATTCAAGTGAATAGGAGTAAGTGAATATTTTTATATATGGATAAAAGTGGAGTTTTTCCCGGAGTACTTTGAAATCTTACGCAGTATTTCCTAGTATTTCCCACTCCATGCCTCCATGGTACATACTTTCAAGAGAGAATTCCCTAAATAGGAGTAAAAACGTTTTGAAATTCCAAAATATGAGTTATGTTTTTTATTCCCTGAATAGGAGTAAATTTCTACCAAGTTTGGCATTACAAGGCTTTAAACATGTCATTTTTTTTCAAACTTGACAGATTACTCCTATTCATAGAATAAAAAACATGATACTCCTATTTCGGAATTTCAAAACGTTTTTACTCTTATTTAGGGTAATTTCTGTACTTTTAAATTTCTCAAATAGAGATATATTTTCCTGGGCATCTGCCATGTCAACATAGTGGCCGGCCACATCATCACTCACATCATTCACCAGCGATTCCATATCATCAAATTTAGGTGCACAAATTATATAAATTGTACGACTGTTATACCATGCGAAAGGTATACTAATACCAGTACTAATATGGTATCGTTCTTTAGTTAATAACACGGCAATTAGACATTCTTCACCGGCCACCTATTTACCTAACCATCTTTGCCAATCTCTATGATCATCTTCCCTGGTTGTTTTCTTGTTTCCCCTGAACAGCTTGAGGGGTGTAATAGTGTAATTAATACCATTAATTAGGTTTCTATGTTTATTATGTTTCTTAACTAGTATCTCACCCGTGCGTTGCACGGCCAATATATTTAATGGTGTATTGATTTATTTAAACAATAATGTTTATATGAAAAGCAATACATCAAAATATTACAATGCCTAGTTGAAGGTCACCAAGAAATTTTTTAAAAGTATCACAAAATAATATGCAAAAAATTTACGGCTCTGTCTTTGAAATAGCTAATGGATTTGAAAATTCAGGACATAAACCCCCAACAATTTTGGCTATAGGATCACCTGAATTGTGTTAAAGAAAATCTTCTCGTATTCCGATGCAAACAAAACCAAGTATTAGAAACTGAAGAATAATAAAAATGAAGTATAAGAAAAATACAATCTGTAATTTAAACACAATGGAGCGTTTCAGAAACACTTCTTTATAAGCACATTTATTGGCTCATTTTGGTGTAATTTCTTTGTCAACATTTTAGATTTTCAATCCTATTGGTTTACTAACTTTGAAAACAGCCGACATATGATTGTCCGTATATACCTGAAGTCTGGCTTGTTTAAAAACAATCCAACATGAGAAAGAAATTGTCACTGACTTTTATCTATCGTCATAACATATGCAACCATGTCACAGAATTTTCTTGATGTCTTCTTGGAAACTTGAAAGAAAGTCTAGCCTAGAAAACCTTTGGTAAGCAAAATATCATCAAATTTTTTAGAGATATTAAATTTAGACGTAGTCTTTTGAAACTCATCAATCAAATCAATTGATAGTCCTTTTACCCCTCAAAATTTGTCAAGTTTAAACAACATAGATAATAACAAAATAAATACTTTGTACTTGATTTTGTTAAAATAAGAGATAAATAGTAGAAACCATGAATTAATTGATAAAAATGGAAATTTACTTATTTTTAGACAACCAAAACATGAATGAGACAAACACAAGTGACAGGAGTATAATATTATTTAGGAATTAAAAAAATACTCATATAAAAGATAATCCTTAGGTTTCTACATAGTTTTCAACTGTTCCATCTTCCACTGAGGCACTTCTATCTAATTCGATCAAGTATTACGGATGACTACAGTGGACAGTGGCCCATCTTTCTTCAGTATCTAATTTGTGCCTTCGCTTTGAAAACTAACGTATCTAATTTCAGCCAAAATCTTCTTATGAACAAAGAGCAAGCTTTCCGTCCAGGTGAAGTTATCTAACATTACAACATCTATCGGATACATAATCCTAATTTAATCTAATATTACAGGGCTAGTCTACAATTTATAGTTCTAATTTGACCTAATTTCCTGTGCAAGGTCTTCTAAAAGGAAGTTTGCAGTGCTTCTTCAACTACGAATCTTATGTTAGTTTCTCGCCTCTAATCTCAACAATAATTTTTGTTTAATTTGATTCGCAAATCTGACTAAGTTAACGTTTTCGGCAAATCTGACTACGTTAAAAAACAAATGATTATATATGAAGACAATTGATTATTAATAATTCTTAAGTTTTTTTGGAATAAATGATTCTTAAGTTAATCATCAAATATAATGAATTACGAAATTTATTTGAAAAATAATGATTACCGAATACATGCATTTTTCAATAATAGATTAATAGGATTATATATAAAGTACATCATGCTTTTGATTGTTCCACAATTCGTAATAACATATTGCATATATTTTAACTATGACATATTACTATTATAGTTTTAATTTAAAATAATTACCTATAAGTAATAGCACCGAATGCATATTATTATATAATAAAGGCTTGATATACTGATGTACATATCAAACCCCACATTTTCACCGACTATATCTGCCTAAAAAAATTAAAAACCTTTATTCTGTTGAAAAATTTCCAATTAAAAACATCAATTGTAGTTCTGGCATGTAATTTTCCTGCACAAAAAGTTTTAATATATAGATGTCCTTATTGGAATAAGTGTTGAAACTTGGGTATCGGATTCTTTTTAATATGAGCGTGAACTCTTGTCCCCTATAAACTCATCATCTCGAATGATAGTAAATATATATCTGTAATGAAGTACCCATCAAAATTGTGCTTCTTACGCCTTCATAGTTATATATGCACTCCATAGATGCTATGACACACAGGTAGCACAAATCTTTACGACCCAACTTACTTCTCTTGGGTGATATCCTTAATCAACCATATTGTCTAATATAAATCGAGTAGAAATGGTAAAAACTTGAACAATGAATATGAATATGAGTAAGCTATTCAGCCGTGTCAACGATTGTGCTTCAAATGGGGGCTATTTATACACATACACAAATGGGAATTTTAAAAGGTAATAAAACTTCGAAATCTGAAATACAATAGATATGCCAAAAAACAGAGGGGCGGTGAAAATTAAATGCAATGTTTTATCTTGAAAAACTAATTATATTGGTAATCGTAAAGTTTCAAACGGCAGACTATATAACATTAAAAATAGATATAGATGCCAGGAGATTTTATCTTGAAAATTTTCTATTAAATTAACTTGTTCGGTTTACCTTGGAATATGAGCGCACTAAAATGACTACGTGTATTGGCTAAGAATATAAAAAGACTTTCACATATACTTGGAAGCAGCGAACTACGAAGTATTAAAAGCATTAAATTTTCACCTGCGTTGCAAACCTATCGGTATATCCAGAATATTCCCATTGGAAACTTATATGGATCTAGCGGACCAAAGCTTTACCGATTTGCCAAGAAAGGTTTTGGCGGGAACTTCTTCCCCAAGAAACCTTTTGTTATTATATTAAGATAGATGTACTCAGGACATATTTTATGATATACTTGGTATATATATAACACCTAGGGCTATCACATTGGTAAACCTACGCATTGAATTTTGATGTGCCACGTCTATAGTTTTTTTGCCTACCTATGTGTACTTGTGGCTTTGTTCTTACAGTTACATACGTAGTAATTTTTTTTCCCACGACTTTTTCTCCGATTGTCCATATACAATTATGTTTTTTCTCCATATTCAGATTTTGTGCTTATAAGTTGCTTAATGTTTGTTATATTTTTCAGTTGTTCCTTTTTTGTGATCTTTGTGATCAGGATGATTGCTACGTGCATTTATGAATCAATGAATCATCCCCATTATAGAAGAGAACCATTGTGCATGTAAATAAAGTGGTTTATCGAAATTTTTGTTACATTTCAATGATTCAATCCAATCCATAACACATTTTGGTTTAACATGCGTAACCTCATGGTGAGAAGACATGGTGCAAAACAGTAAAACACCGAAATTTGTTACTTTGGTTTATTTATTGTAATATGTATGTAGGTTGAACATAGTCCACCCGAAATTGGCATGACTGGTTGATGACATTTTTAGTGAGCCCAAAACATGATAATAAAAGAGGAAACAATGCTTCATCATTTTCTCCAAGTTTACTCCTTTATATGCAAAATCAATTTGGAGGAATACTGCTCGAAGGTGAGAGTAGGTGATGAACATCCAAAACTGCCAAAAACATGAAATGCTTGGATTCGTAGTTAGTGCCAAAACTCTAGTGTTTTGGGCAGAATTCCACATGCTTCCAGAATCCAGATCTACTTACATATGATGGCTGATATGAAAAACATGAAATGCTTGGATTTTTAAAGGCATTCCTTCCAATTTGAATCGGACTTTGAGGACTGCCCAATTTTGGATGAGTATATATACCAGTGTGTCATGTCACTCATGTGTAATCCACTCAAGCAACACAAAGTTGCCAAGTCCTTCAAGTGTATCCCACATAATTGAGATGAATCTTGTTGGGGTAGAGCCGTAGAGGTCAGGAAGTCGAGGAAGGTGGCAACAACCATAAAGGGGAATTAAGCATGGTTTTATGACTTTATCCTAAATATTGGGAGAATTGATAGCTTCAAAGCCAAGCTTTGGGGTTTAAGGCAAGAGTTTTTGTTTGGCTCGGGATCTCGATCTTAATAAAGTCATTCTTAAAGTGCATTTGTAGAGTACAGCTAAAATTGTGAAGAATAGAGATGAATATATGAGAATTGTGAAAGTTTAATTTACTCCGAAATGTCAAAAGTTCCTTGGAGAAGAAAGATCTATGACAACAAATCGCACTTTTGTGAGGTAATTGTTCTGCAGATAGCTTGACAAATGCAGCTCATCAAACACCAAAGTAGTTAACTGAGGAGTACTTTATAAGAGGCATTTATTTGGATTTGTTGGAGGTATTGGTCCTACCAAGGCCTCCCTTCCACTTTATTTGCTGAGGCTTGCACCCTATTGTTTTACTCCCACTTTGGTATCTCTACCTTGGTATTTTATCTGATCAATAAGTATACCTATTTGAGTGGTTTGACTTTCCCACTTGGCTGGCCCATCCTTTCCTGTCTGCTGCATTACTTGTCTTGGTAACCCGTGAGGCCTCCTGTTTTGCTTCACCCGTGACTTCTTGTCTTGATATCACCCGTGACCTCTGCCAGCCTTCTATATGAAGCTTGTGCCTTCTCCCTTTGTTGAGCAGCCTGCGAGAACCAATTCTAGAGAGCAGTGCTCTCCTTGTTCTCTTTCCCTTTGTGTGAGTATTGAGAGAGGGACTATGTGGTGAGATAAAAACAGAGAGTTGTGCTAAAGCTTCCCCTAGTGTGGTGTATGTGAGTAGAGTGTGTAGAAAGACCTGAGCCGGAGACGGAATACGATCCTTACAGTGGTATCAGAGCCAGGTTCCGCCGTCTGCCGCCGTCCGCCGCCGCCGCCCGTCCGCCGCCCGTCCGCCGCCGTCGTCGATTGGAGCTCGCCGAAGGGCCCTGGGGTTGCTTGTCGTTCGCACGAGCTTGCTGACTTCCACGTTGGTCTCTGTTCGCAGAAATCGAGCTTGCCAGAAGCTGATTCCGCCATAGCCTCTGCTGGAAGCTCAAACCCGCCATAGCCTGAAGCTCGCCGCTGCAGGGATTTGCTCGCCGCAATCAATCAACCGCCGGTCGCCTGGTTGTTCTCCGGTCACCGTTCCGTCACCTGGGGGATCCGCCATCGAGGTCGCTACTCGTTGGTGAAGCTCGTTGATTCGCAGAAGATAGACGAAGGCCCTGAGTGACGAGTACTGTAGCTTGTAGACTGGAGGCAGTACGAACGCTGGACCTGTGTTGGACCGACTGTACCTTCGTTGCTGGGCTGGAGCAGTCTGATAGGAGCATTAATTTCTTGGTCATTGGGCCTTATTTGGGCTGCTGGACCTGGTGAATTGAAGGAGCTACTGGAGTTGGGTCAGAGAGCTACTGCTGGGTTTCTATTTGGGCTGGTTAGGTGCTGGGTTGGTCAAACCGGAGCTGGAATGGGCTGATGCTGCTGGAGTTGGACTGCTGAGCTGCTGGACCGCCGGTCAACGACGGTCAACGCCGGTCAACGGCAGTCAACGCCGGTCAACTTCTCAGAAAAATCCCAAATTTTTTTAAAATTTGGGTAGGTAAGGTCGAAACGCTCTCCTAGGGTTTCGCGAAGGTAAGTTTTCTGTAAACTTCCCATTTGTTATATTCCGGTTTTAATTTTAATTTAATTTATTCCCCCTCCCCGCGGGCCGCCGGTTGATTTAATCCCGGCCGCCAACCCCTCAGGTACGTACTAAACCCTCTCCTTTGTGGTTGATTGTTTTAGTTGATTAATTAAATTACTAAGTGTTATTTAATTTAATTGTTATGCGTAGGGGTGGTTTATTGGGTGGTAGGGGTAGAATTAATTAATTTTAATTTTCTGCCCAGAATTGTTTAATTGCCATTATGTCCAATTTTTTGTTATGTGTTGCATGCTGCCCGGGGTTATTAAAGTGAATACTTTATAACCCGGGTTGGATTATTTTCTGTTATTTCTATCTGTTTAGCTTTGTGTTCCTTTGTGGTTGATACCATGGCTACAAATCAGTATGGTATGCTTCCATTTAATGGAAAAACGGATTTTGATATTTGGAAACAGAAAATAAAGTGTGTTTTAATACAGCAAAAAGTTTTCAGAGCTGTCACTGGTATTTTCCTTGAATCAGAAGATAAGGCTAAGCAAATTGAAATGAACGAAACTGCTTGTTCTACTATTTACTTGAATCTGTCTGATTCTGTGCTTAGGAAAGTGGGTATTCTTGAGTCCGCTAAGGAGTTGTGGGAGAAATTAGATAGTCTCTATACTGATACCTCTTTACCAGGGAAGTTGTTCTTGCTAGAGAAATTCTTTAGGTTTAGGCTTGACCTGACTAAGGATATAGATGAGAACCTGGATGTGTTTAATAAACTGATACAGAATATCAAACAGGCAGGTGATAAACACATAGATGATTATACTCCCATAGTATTACTTAATGCCATTCCCGACTCTTATAATGATGTTAAGTCCGCTATTAAGTACGGTAGGGATGAGATTTCATTAGACATTGTAGTGAATGGGTTAAGGAGTAAGGAATTAGACCTGAAGCATGCTAGGGGTAGTGCTAGTCAGTCCAGGGACTCCGGTGAGGCTATGTTTGTTAGGGGTAGATCTAAGGGTAGGTCTAAGAACTCTAAGCAAAATAGTCAGGGTAAGAACGCTAGTCAGCCTGGGAGGAAGAGGAGTAAATCTAGGAAGAGAGTGTGTTACAATTGTGGTAACACTGGCCATTTCATTAAGGATTGCCCCCACCCTAAGAAGACCGAGCATGCTAGTGTAGCTGTTGATAAATGTGACCTTGGTGATATTTTGATGGTTTGTGACCATGTTAATTCTGTGAGAAATTCCCTGTCTGAGCATGAATGGTTGATTGACTCTGGTTGTACCTATCACATGTCCCCCTTTAGAGATTTGTTTTCTACTTATGAATTATGTGATAGTGGCTACGTTTCCTTAGCTGATAATAAGAGATGCAATGTGCTTGGTGTTGGTGATATATGTCTGAAATTTTCTTGTGGCTCTGTGTTTACCATTAAGAATGTAAGGCATGTCCCTGATTTGTGTCATAACTTGTTATCTGTTGCTGCTTTGGAGAGTAGTGGGTTGCAGGGAAAATGGGGGAATGGTTGTATGAAAATCCTGAAAAACTCGCTTGTTTTGTTTAAAGCTGAGAAGGTGAATAACCTTTATGTGTGTCATGCTAAACCTTTTGCCGAATCTGTGAATGTTGTATGTTCTGATAAGACCTCTTTGTGGCATAATAGGCTAGGACATATGAGCAATAAGGGTTTAGATGTCATGCGTAGGGCTGGTTATTTTGGTAAGGACTCTGTGACTTCTGTGCCTTTCTGTGAATCATGTGTGTTAGGCAAGCAGCATAGAGTCAGTTTCCCTCCTTCCTCTTACCCTAATCTGTCTAAGTGTTCGTCTGTGCTTGAATATGTTCATGCCGATGTTTGGGGTCCTGCCAGTGTTCCTACCCACGGGGGTAGGAAATATTTCCTTTCCATTATTGATGACTTCTCTAGGAAGGTGTGGGTTTGCCTTTTAGAACACAAGTCAGATGTGTTTGTGAGGTTTAGGGAGTGGAAAACCCTAGTTGAAAACCAAACTGGCAGGAAGGTTAAAACCCTTAGGACCGATAATGGGTTAGAGTTCTGTAATAAGGAGATGGATAAGTTGTGTGTGGATTGTGGGATAAAAAGGCACAAAACTGTGCCTTATACTCCCCAACAGAATGGGATAGCAGAGAGAATGAATAGGTCTCTGTTGGATAAGGTTAGAAGCATGTTAGCTACCTCTGGTTTGTCTAAGAAATTCTGGGGTGAAGCAGTTACTACTGCTGCCTATTTGGTTAATAGGTCCCCATTTGTCCCTCTTGGTGGTAAGTGTCCTGAAACCGTCTTTACCGGTAAGCCTCTTGATCTGTCTAACCTTTGGGTGTTTGGTTGTGCAGCGTATGCACATCAACAGGGTGACAAGTTGGATCCTAGGTCTAAGAAATGTGTCTTCCTAGGTTATCCAGAGGGGGTAAAGGGTTACAGGTTATGGGATAGGAACCAGGTAGGCTTTAAAGTGGTCCTTAGCAGAAATGTGGTGTTTAATGAAACTGATTTTCCTTGCTTGACCAAGTCTGTTTCTGATCCTGAGTCTAGGTCTGATAGTACTCCTAGTGAGGTGGAGTCTGTCCCTGTTGCTGCTGGTCCTTTATCTGTTGATCCTGTTATTTCTGATGATATTGTTATGCATGATTCTGATTCCTCTGAGCATGATAGTCCCACCACCTCGAGTGAGGTGGAGCATTTGCATGATACTGAGCATGATTTGCATGATATGGGTGCTGAATCTGATTTTCATGATAACAATAATTTGCATGAGTTGCATGTGGAGCCTAGTAGTGATAATTTGCATGATTATCAACTTGCTAGAGATAGGAGTAGAAGGGCTATCAGGAGAACTGCTGATAGTATGCCTGATTATGCTTTCATTGTGCATGATACTTCTATGTTTGCATTTTCTGTGTTTGAATCCCTAGAGCTGAATGAACCCAAGACCTACCGTGAAGCCTTAGGTTCCAAAGAGTCTCAGAAATGGATTAGTGCCATGAAAAGTGAGATGGACTCTTTGAGAGTGAACCAGACTTGGACCCTTGTACCTAGACCCCCCAACTGTTCGGTAGTTGAGTGTAAGTGGTTGTTTAAGGTTAAGGAAGAACCTAGTGATGTTAGGTTTAAGGCTAGGTTGGTTGCGAAGGGGTTTACTCAAAAAGAGGGGGTAGATTATGCAGAAATCTTTGCTCCTGTTGTTAAATTCACCACTATTCGTATGATGCTTGCTTTAGTTGCTCACCATGACTGGGAAATGAAACAGATGGATGTAACTACTGCTTTTTTGCATGGTGAATTGGATAAAACAATTTATATGACCCAGCCTGAGGGCTTTGTGGATCCCAAGAGAAGTGAGCATGTTTGTTTGCTTAGGAAGGCTTTGTATGGCCTGAAGCAATCCCCTAGGCAGTGGAACATCAAATTTGATAAATGCATGATATCTTTGAAGTTCCAGAAATCTGTTTGTGATCATTGCCTGTATTCCAAAAATACTTCTTCTGTGCCTGTATTTTTGTTACTCTATGTGGATGACATGCTGATAATTAGTCCTTCTCTGAATGCTATTAAAGATGTGCAGAAATGTCTTTGTGCGAGTTTTGCCATGAAAGACCTAGGTGATGCCAAGAGGATCCTAGGCATAAACATTGTTAGGGATAGGAGTAAGCGTACTCTTACTTTGAATCAGATTTCTTACATAGAAAAAGTTTTGAGTAAATTTAATATGTTATCTGCTTCTCCTGTTAATGTCCCTATGGCATCTCACTTTGTGTTAAGTAAGGACCAGTCTCCCAAGACTGCTCCTGAAATTGAGAAAATGAAATCTGTGCCTTATTCCAGCGCAATAGGGTCGGTGATGTATCTTATGGTTAGCACTAGACCTGATATTGCATATGCGGTTAGTTGCTTGAGTAGATATATGTCCAACCCTGGTTTGCCCCATTGGAATGCTCTTAAGTGGTTGCTTAGATATCTGATTTCTACTGTGAAGCATGGATTAATTTTCTCTAAGTGTGCTAGTGGTATTGAATTGATTGGTTATGTTGATTCTAACTATGCAAATGATAGAGATAACAGGAAGTCGACCACTTCTTATGTTTTTACTTTGTGTGGCTCTTGCATTAGTTGGAAGTCTCAACTACAGCCTATTGTGGCCCTTTCTACCACTGAGTCCGAGTATGTTGCAGCCACAGAAGCGTTTAAGGAAGCCATCTGGCTCAAACGCCTTGTCTCCAAAATTGGGTTTCTCAAAAAGGGAGTTACCATTTTCTCGGATAGCCAATCGGCTATCCAACTTTGCAAAAATCCTGTATTTCATGATAGAACTAAGCATATTGATGTTAGGTTCCATTTCATACGTGATATTGTTGATGCAGGTGGAGTCAAGCTGTGCAAGATCCCGTCCGAGTTTAACCCCGCGGATATGGGTACCAAGTGTCTTTCTGCTGAGAAGCACTTGTCCTGTAAACGCGTGTTAAACTTTGATTGTGGATAACTGTGGGTTGCCTAATAAAGTGTTTGCCCGTTGTGTCTGTTGATATTCCGGGTGACCCGGCGATGATGAGTCTTGTCACAACCTTGTATTGTTACTCTACACCACCTAGGACCAATAAGGTGGAGAATGTTGGAGGTATTGGTCCTACCAAGGCCTCCCTTCCACTTTATTTGCTGAGGCTTGCACCCTATTGTTTTACTCCCACTTTGGTATCTCTACCTTGGTATTTTATCTGATCAATAAGTATACCTATTTGAGTGGTTTGACTTTCCCACTTGGCTGGCCCATCCTTTCCTGTCTGCTGCATTACTTGTCTTGGTAACCCGTGAGGCCTCCTGTTTTGCTTCACCCGTGACTTCTTGTCTTGATATCACCCGTGACCTCTGCCAGCCTTCTATATGAAGCTTGTGCCTTCTCCCTTTGTTGAGCAGCCTGCGAGAACCAATTCTAGAGAGCAGTGCTCTCCTTCTTCTCTTTCCCTTTGTGTGAGTATTGAGAGAGGGACTATGTGGTGAGATAAAAACAGAGAGTTGTGCTAAAGCTTCCCCTAGTGTGGTGTATGTGAGTAGAGTGTGTAGAAAGACCTGAGCCGGAGACGGAATACGATCCTTACAGGATTAAACGTTATCTATTGGAAAATGCTAATGGTTTAGGGTAGTAATAGTTTCATTTGGCTTTTTCTTTCTGATGTATCAACAAAATATGGATATCTACTCAAAGGGATAAAAACGTAGTCATGTTAACGAGCAACTTTCAGTTTATTAAAATAATGTTAAATAAAAAAACTAATCAATTTCTAGTCGTGCATTCTGTGTGGCAAACTTGCAGCAAAAGGGAAAGAATGAAAGATACAACAATTACAATAATGTCTCTCGGGGCGACTACCACTCAATTCAGCACCACCTTAATTTGAAAACACTTAATTTTGTATGAAATTATAGTTTCCAAAAGATTCTTAATTGAAGAAAAATTTCATGAAATTTAGATTTATGCTACGTACTCCGTATATAACAAATAAACCATGTTCATAACTTCATATAGAAGGTATGTAGGTCTCCATGTATTAAATGTACTAGCGTTTGGTCGCACAAGACGTGATAACTAGTGCCCAATAAGAGACTAATGAAAAGCAGAGATAAAAAATAATTATTACTATCTCCGTCCCACGAAAATTGAGACATGAGAAGGTCACACAATTATACCGAAAAAGTCGATTAGGCCCTCGTACTTTACTAATACTCAATTAAGTTCTCAAACTATTAAAAACGTTCAATTAAGCCCTTTCGGTCGGTAAGTGACCGGTTTCCCAGTTAAATGTAACTCGTTTCCCGGCAGTCGCCGTTGCTAGGGTTCGAGCACATCGTCGCCGTTTAACCGGGAAACCGGTTACTTACCGACCAAAAGGGCTTAATTGAACGTTTTTTAATAGTTTGAGGACTTAATTGAGTGTTTCTAAAGTACGAGGGTCTAATCGACTTTTTCGGCATAGTATGTGGACTTATTTGATAGTTTTCCCTAAGAAAAATGAAATTATGTGGTTGATATTGAATTGATAAAGTAAGAATTATTTAGAGCCAAACAAACTTTATTAAATTTGGTATGAGACATTCTTTGTGGGATTTCTCAAAAAGTAATAACGAGACAATCTTAGCGGGACGAAGGGATTACTACTTTTATCTCCTAAGATTGAGACAAGAGGGAACATATTTATTATGATAAATGAATTGTGTGATTAACGGTGAATTGATGAAGTGTTGGTAAAATAAAGATGAATGAATTACAATCACCCAAATATAAAATATCACTAAATATAATATGAGACCAATTTAAAGAGACGGATGAAAAATGTAAAATGGGACAAATATAAGAGACGGAGTAGCACATATGTCAATAAAATTTTCATGATGACTATGGCATATAAAAATAAAAGGATGTACTTTCATACTTTCAACAAATCTTTGTAAATTAAGGGGTAGCTTACAGTTTTTCACGAATAACTGCAAACATGGGGTAAATTGTAGCTTACGATAAACTGAGTCAAAGGCTCGTTGTCTCTTTGTTAAGGACTTAGATTATGTTCAGAGATAACTCCCATGTGGCCTTTTATGAATATACCTACAATTTCAGCAACCTAAAGGGCGAGCCAACTGAAGTCCGATTAACAAACTCCCATGTCACCATCTCTGAATATTATACCTTCAGTTCCAGCAATCGAATCTAAACCTGATTGGAGGTTTTGAGGTTAACGGCATATAAGGGTAAAAAAGCAAGAATAAACGTAAAGTCCTACTTTTTAAGAGTAATGTACCATTTTTATGCATATGATGTATTGACAAAAATGAAGGGTACCAACCTTTATTCACAATTATAATGTTGTTAGATTAAACGTATAATGTATTAAACCACCTGCATGCTTTTCATACTGACAGAGAGCCAAGTTAGGCTTTTGATCCAACCAGCTTATCAGAACAATTAGTACGTATAAGAATGAAGAAAATTGAAGAAATGAATAAATGCATTTCAGTACGCATTCTTTGCTTCATCAATGACATCTGACAGTTTGAGAACCGGTACACCTAACAGGGTATTTCCCGGTTGGGTTAAATAACACCGGCTGGGAAGAATGTTCTAAACTTTCCAGAAGGCGTATCTACGACTACATCAGTCAACAATATTTTGTACGAACTGAACATAAACAGCATTGGACTATCAGTTCTAGTGGACCAAAAACAAAATGGTATTACCCGTTCCAACCAAGAACTCAGTCGGTAAAAATTGAAATTGACTGAATCGGTTGAATATTTTTAAATGGATGAAATTCAGGTTGAAACTATTGAATTAGCTGAATCTTCCGAATTTTTAGAATATAATATTTATAATATACTTTATTAATAAAATAAGAAAAACAATACTACGTACAAAAAACTAGCTAAATGGGCTTCTATAATAAACTATACTACGTATGATAAACTAGCTAAATGGTTTTCAATAGTAAATTCAATTAGAAAAAAAATTTCAACCTTACTTATTTTGATTATTACTCAATTCAATGCGTGAAATAAAAAATTAAGCGTTTGATAAAAAAGTTGTAATATGAACTGAAATTTAGAAATCTAAATTTCCTGCATTTAGGGTTAGAGATGGACATGACGGCATGAAGCTAGGTCCAAACACGAACTGGCTGTTTTTTTTAATTTAATTAAAACCAAACCGTTGTGTAGTCTTGAACTGGTACCAAAAACCGGTGTATGTCAACTGATTTTTACCCTCCCAAATGGGGCCAGGCCAGCTGCCTGTTTATGTGGGATACCGGGTTTTTAAGGTTATAAATTAGGTAGAAAACGAATGCATGTAAGATAGATTTACACCAATTTAGATTTTAGAAGTGGGGGAGGGATGTCTTCTAGAGGATGATTAGTCAGTATGATTTAGCCCATTCATGAGTTTAGAAGTAGGCACACATGTAGCCCATCTGCATTTTAGCATGAAACTGCAAATAGTTTGCCAAGTATATGACTGATATCGAGGATAGGGGTTCATAATATCTAAAGGGGAGATTGAAATGTTACCTAACAGCCTTAAGTGTAGAGCTGTGTAGATCAAAGAATACCATGCAGCAGAGAACGCGTGTAGAAACATCTCAGTTTGTCCTTCGTGTCTGAATAACTTGCATTGATTTCCTCCATCTGAACTTGTGCAGTGCCAACCCCGTCTTCAAGCTTCTTGAGTCTCTCTTGCAGCATTTGGCATCTCGCCATGCAAGCTTCATATTCCTCTCTGGTTTCTGCCCACGTTTTCTTCAGTTCTTCAATCCCTTGGAGAGTCTTGGTTCTTGATTCCACTAAGCTGGGGAAACCTTTCTTGAACTCTTTGGCTTCAAAAATTTCATTCAACCGGCAGAGAAGCCATCCGACGTCTACCTTGACAGGTTCAAGATCATTAACAACATTGAGCATGGATTGGAGCTCCTGACACGTCAGATCTGGAAACTTTGTTGATCTCAATCTTTGACAAATGTTGCAAACCGTTTCCAGCACAGAAGAACGATACTCAACTGATTTGAATATGCTTTCTTTCACAATGTCACCATATCTTGTAAAGATTTGCTTGGCAAGAGGTGCAATTTCCACCCTCACTTTGTATCCACCAACATTTGCTGTCGAAGAATTTTTTGTTGAGATTGCGTCATCCATATCATCATCATCAGCTCCTGCAAGCAGCATCTCTGTGAGGTGAAGAGTTTCAGATCGGGTTAGATGAACAGCAGCAGAAGCAGTAGCTCTCTCGTCATTGTTGGGTTTTTGTTCACTGGCAGTAGAAGTACTTGTTGGATGATTCTCTTCATCTGCAAATTGACTAGGCATGCTTGAGGCATTCACATGTTCTATGGTCAGGAGGCCCTGGACATTGTTTAAAAAGCAAAATTTGAATGTTGGAAAAGCATACCTTCCATACGTCCCAATTTGACTTTTTAAAGTCATCATTCATTCACCTTGACCACTAATTTTCATTAATCTTGCTTCCTCGGTTCATAGCTGTGATAATTAATATACTAGACTAAAAAGTTGATATATTGGAATTTACATTGGTACAGATTTAGTAATACTATTTCTTAATATCATTTCTCAATGCATTAAAAAGTACTCTGTAATATACATTAGAAATCATACGAACATTGCAAAAATCAAATTTTTCCATTTATAAAAATGGAGGTAGTATTATTTAGAATATAAGTGTTGGTGACCAAATATTATTGATGTAAACTTTATTAAATACCGGCCCATTTTATGTGTATATCCTATTTTAGATTACAAAATTTGAATGCAGTTGTAGTATTTGAATAATTATCAATAATTAAAATTTAAACATCAAGGAAATACAATACAAGTTCTATTGAGTCGCAAATATGCCAACAATTTTGATGTAGAAAATTAGAGAATACAAAAAGGGCAGCTCAATGCACATTGGCATCCTTCCAAGGCGAGAGTCCAGGAAAGGGTCCAAACAAATGTGTGTAAGAGGCAAGCCTTTTCTTGTCGTTTTGACAAGAGGCAGCTCCCAAGAGTTAAATTTGTAACCTTGCGGTCACACGACAGCACTGTGACCGGTGCCCCAAGCCTCCTTTTAGAAAATTAGACATTAACAAGAAGTAAATAGTGGTCAAACAGAAGACAGAGGATATTCAAAATGGGTCCCTACTCCCTATATTGGAACAAGAGGTAGTTTTACGTATCATATAGAACATTTCATACTTTTACAACACTATCCCACAAAAGGCAAAACAAAGTAGCAAGCTTGATTGTAGTACCTGAGAAGGCAATTCAGATACTAGTGCTGCACTTAATTCGGGATTAATAGGACCAGCCTGGTTGGAGATAGAACATGAAGGTGTCCAGGGAGAACTTCCAGGACTGGATTTAAAAAATAATTCCCTTGCCCTTCGAGTTCTATATGTATGAGTGGTAGTTTGAGTAGTCAGTGGTGCATCACCCTGTGATACACCATAAAGAGTTGGTAAGAAGTCATTAACCTATGCCTATACTTCCTGATAACTAAGAAGTATTACACATCATTTAGAGATGCTTCTGGGCAGGGAATTATATGTACAAAGGATCTGCTATTAGGTAAGGCCCAAAATGAATGCATAAAAACCATGATTCCGTTCACTTCAAAGTAGACATGAAAGGATGGGGATGACTGTGAATAACACTGATATGCAACTAGAAAACCACTTCCAAACACAGATTAACATTTTCATTTCAGACTGATTTCTTAACTCTATTTGCTTAAATTAGGGTTCTCAAATTCAAACAAAGAGTGCGTGCCAAAACTTCTCAAGCTCATTTGTTGATACAAAAACAAGGGAAAGAGGGAGTTACCGGAGAAGGAGGCGGCGATGGTGATGCTGTTTGCTCTTGCTTAATCAGATCCTTCTCCTCCTCCACAGCTTCCTCCTCCCTCTCTTCATTGCACTGAGCACCACCATTCAGGGACGGTTGTCCACGTCTCTGTCTGGTGCTTCTTGGCCTCCTTGTCGACAGTTTGGCTTTCTTCATCCTCTCTGAAAGTTCAATTTTTTCTCAGACTTGGGAAGAAATGGGTTACTCCTCTCTCTGCCCCAGGAACATGATAGAGCACAGAAACGGAAATGGCATTGCAGGTAGCTAACCATCGGTTCGTTTGAAGTTGCACAAAAGCGTGCTACTAGACAGCTACTCTGTAGTACCAGTACAACCAAATACAGAAATATTTTCAGTCACATTTATACCATTTCTGGTTTCGAGGAGAAAGAAATGCATTTCCCTCTTAACACACTCAATTCTACCAACATTTCGTTCGTCGTTTTTAGGTTGACGTGGAATTCAAATTCTTTAAACTTTGACAGCATCTTTGGTAACACTAAAATGTGCTGCATTGCCTGATTTTGTTAAATTTATGAAGTTCAGGCTGAAGTGGCTGATTCGTGAAAAAATTATATTTAAAATATTAGTTGTTAATAAATTAAATAAAAAATTATATGAAAAAATAGCTAAAATGATCATGTACAATAACTTCAGTCAATACGGACAGAAAAGTAACTTCAACCTTACTTTTTCTGTTTATCACAAAATTCAGTGTGCCAAATCAAAAGTTACGTGTTTGGTGAATAAATTGGTTAATAAGCCAGAAAAAAAGGTCGCCAAACGGCCTCTGAATCAAGGTAAAAGAATCACATAAATCCTCTTACTCTTTGGAAAATATGGATTAAACTCATCTATTCAAATATCACCTAATTATACATCCCAACTAATAAAAAAGTTCAAATTAGCTTTTTAACACTACCTCCGTCCCGTTGGAAGGTTCTCATATCAAAACGGTACGTTATTTAGACAATAATCAAATAAAGTACTTTGAGTATATTTTGAGAAATAATTTTAATAGGTATATATTATAATGTAGTTAGTAATGATAACTGTGATATTATAAATGTATTATTTTTAATATTTAATAATTACTTTGTCACTTAAGATTGTTAATTGTTTCCTAAAATTGAAATGGGAACCTTTATATGGAACATCCAAAATAGGAAGGTGGGAACCTTCTAATGGAAAGAGGGAATAGGTTAATCAACACTTTGCTGGTAAACATATATATATGTGGCGCCACGTGTCATATTTTTTCTTTATATCTTTTTTAATCTCTTTTTTCCCTTTACTTTCTTTCTTCCCATAGCTAAAAGAGAAGAGACAGCTGCTGCTACATTCGATATTCATACCCAGTACACAATGGGATTGGGATCCTCTGCTCGACTAGGACGGTGCCTTGCGCATCGGACGGTCGGGCAGTAGCAAAGCAGGCCTCGAGATTAGCGAAAAAGTGGAGCCCAAGATTTCCGACCGTTGAATTGTTGATCGGACGACCCGGAAGAAGCAAGGCACCCTACCTTACTTTAAAGTAAGGTAGAGGCTCCGGATCCGTACACAATGCACTGAGAAATCATTGTTGTGTACTGAATATTATTTTAACTCTTCTATGTTCCTGATTATATTATACGTTTGTCATCAAGAATTGAATTAACAATTTTATTCTTTCAATTTTCATAGTAATCAGTTTCTTAGTTAAGTCACGAACTTCGGCTTCCAGATTTTTATATCTTAGAGTTTAGATTAGTGACTTTCTCTTGTGTGTTGGTTAGTTGCGCACTGAGTCTACCTCTTTCATCAAAGCTCTTAACCAAGCACTTTTAATTATTTGCTAATCATTCTTCTAATTCCTTAACCATTGTACGCTCGATAGCAATTAAGCTTTCAGGATGTACAGAATCAGAAGTAACTGTCTCGAACTCATCAGAAGATTCAGCACAATGATTTACTGACAATGATGATGAGTTCGAGTGAGCATCCATTTTTATTGTCGGACTAGTTTTTGTATCACGCGTTGCGCGAGTATGCCGATGCCCAATGTTAGTTACGTTATCATACGTAAATATTTTTATAATTACCTTTTTATTTGCACAAAATCAAAACATTAATCGGAATTTGCATTTGACTTAGTTCTTGTAAATGTAGAGTTTGCTTTTTCAAAATATACAAGTATAAGTATATTAAGACTGTTTGAGAATTATGCAAAGAGTATATTTATAATTGTTGATCTCCTAAGTCCTAACCCCCATTCAGTAAATAAAGGATATTTAAAGGCATAAGAGATGCGAGAAAGGGCATAATGCTAACCTCCGGCGGTAGAACAATATAGATTTATAAGGGGAAGGGGGGATGATTGAAGGAGACACCTCACAGCTGCAACAACCTGTTCGTTCTCATGTGGGCGATGCGTTGATGGCAGATGCAAGCGACAGAATTGGGTCTTGAGCGGTGATAAGTCCGTATTTTGACACGTATTTGATGCGTGTTGAGATCGGCTTTTGATGATTTTCCTAGCTTTAAGGTGTTACAAGTCTCAATTTTAGCTCAAGTTATGTTTACCGGGCGTTGGTTCGAGTTTTGTGTCATTTGGAGTCAAAATCAGGGAATTTGAGCCCGGTACCCGGCACTTGAGAAGAAATCGGGATGAGTCGAGAAGCATTCGAGAGTGAATTGAGAGCTTTGGAGGTCACCGGAAGATTCACGATGAAGATTTGAAGGAAAAAGAGCTCTAGGATTGGCTTCGGGATCAAAAGAAGATGAATGAAGCTTGAAAACGACGATCAGGATGACCTTCTGTCAATCGTTCAAGCATATCTCTTTGTAGCAACATCCAATGTACACGATTCAAGTTCCATAGGAAAGCCAACTTCAAGGGCTACAAATCATATGAAGACACCTTTGCGAGAATCTGAGAGGAAGAAGGTGAAAACAGACGATGAAGTCAGATGATCTCTGCTGCGATTTCAGAAAGACACCTTCCACCGTTTTGATCATATCTCTTGATTGGATGATTCAAATCACATTCGGCAAATTGGGGTGAATAGAGGACTTCATTATCTACAACGTTCATGAAGAAAGCATTGCCAAATTCGTAAGTTAAGTAGGCACGATCGTGCCCTCAAATTCAGACACGATCGTGCGTGAAGAGAAAACACGGAGGAGTTACTGCCAGCCAGGCACGATCGTGCCTGGAGGGAGGCACGATCGTGCCTGCCCAAAATGCGCGTTTTTGCTCCGGAGGCACGATCGAAGGCACGATCGTGCCTGGCATCGTGTCTGGCTCCGAAAATCCTAATTCAGCTTAAATTTCACCCGATTTTTCTATTTGAACAGCCTGTAAACCCCCGTTTTCAAGGGGGAGCTTAGAGAGAGTGCCTAGCACGAATTTTAGAGGGCTTTTCAGCCTTGTTCATCAATCTTTTGGGATTCTTTGTAAGTTCCACCTTTTTAATTAATGACAATTAATTCTTTTTATTCCAATTCTATTGATTCTTCAATTATGAATTGTGAGTAGTTTTAATTAGGGATTTGAGATTGATGAAGGGGTTGATCATGATGTATGGCTAGATTCTTTTCTGTTTAATTGCATGAATGCCGTTTAATTTGTGTTTGAATAATTTAATTGATATCTTTTGTAACCTAGAATCGCGACTAGAATTACAATTGCATGTAGAATAAATTAAGAGAGATCTAATTTGTTCTAGGACACATTCACACACACTTAATCGTTCGCTAAGAGATTAGTAGCGATTAAGGGGTCATAAGCTCGCTCGTCTTGGCAATAATTTAGGATCCTGTCGCATGAGAGATCAGTCTGGTCCCCTAAATTATTGTACTCTACGCCGCGAGAGCGGTAAGAACTTAGTAATGATTAGCTAGGCTCAATTAAATTAATTTCATGTAATTAGGCCTGATCTGCCAGAAATCTAGTTACCCCGGAATCGATCCATGTTCCCTTCGTCATTAATTAGAAAGAACCCCTAGTTTAATTGTTCGCATTAGTTTTATTTTCCAAACCAACCAATTCTCGCACAACGCTTTTATTTTATTTTCTTTTTAATCGCTGAATTTAATTAATTCTTGATTCCCTTTTGTCCGTCCCTATGGAGACGATACTCGTACTTACACCACTATATTACGATCTATTTTAAGTGCGAGAAAACTCACATCAAGCGGCTAGCCCGATGTAATGTAAGATGTACGCGGTTCTAATTTAACGAGGTGATAGACGCCGTTGAGTGTTGCAGGTGTATAAAGTGGAATGAAGTACAATGAATTAAGCATTTAGTACTTATCAACTAAGTTTACAATACCACCAACAAAATTATTTATACCAACAATATCCTAACTCTCATTCAGGCTTATTAGATTGTAGAGATATGGATTGTTAACGTGTTGTTGATTGTGAGTTTCTAGACTTTAAGGTAAAGTGCTAACCAACTTTGTTTTGAAAAAATTCCTCCTTTAGGTCTTGAGAAGTATTCGTCTTTAACCATGTGATTCTCGTTTTACTTAATTAATTAATTATTATTTTTTAAGTAATTAATTAATAATTTTTTTTTTTAATCACAAGGTTGACTTTTGGAAGCTTTAAATGTAATGCCGACCTTTGAATTTGAGGTTGGGCCTCAAAGTTTGAAATAGGGATGGCAACGGGGTGGATTTGGGGCGGGGGTTCACTCCCCCATCCCCCGCCCCATGTCTAAAAAGTCCCCCCCATCCCCGCTCCATCGCCGTCACTCCCAGACCCGCCCCATCCCCGCTGTCCCCCACGGGTGCCCCATATATATTTTAATTATCTTATTTGTGTGTTTTTTAATCCATTTTATAGATAAATATATATATACACACACACACACACACAAACACACACACACACACACACACACACACACACACACACACATATATATATATATATATATATAGAGAAAACTTCATGTCAGGCCGGCCTGACGGGCTGACCCGTCCGGCCGAGCCCGTTTGGGCACCTTCCCGGTGGAATTTTTTGATGAAATTTTTTGAGCATGTTCCTCATCAAGTCTAGTTTGTCCATACCAAATTTCAGCTCAAAATTCGATCCGGAAGGTCGTCAAATGATTTTTGCAAGTTAACTGGTCTGGAATATGTATTTTCCGGACCAGTTAACTTGCAAAAATCGTTTGACGACCTTCCCGATCGAATTTTGAGCTGAAATTTGGTATGGACAAACTAGACTTGACGAGGAAC